ACCTGGGGGTTTGCTCCTCTCGCTGCCTCCTGCTCTCTCGTTGATGAGGCAATTAAGCTGTGTTACCAGCTAGGGGCTAAGGAGGTCGACCAGAGGGAGCTCCCCAATCTCTCAGGTCTGAACTGGAGAGAGGCGCTCTCCGTTTGCGAAGAGAGTTTCATCCCAGAGCTTCACATCAGCTACGTCCAGCCAGAGACAGTCCAGCCAGAGACAGTCCAGCCAGAAACCGTCCAGCCAGAGACCGTCCAGCCAGAGACCATCCAGCCAGAGAACGTCCAGCCAGAGACTGTCCAGCCAGAGACCCTTCACATCACTTATGCCGAGCCAGAGACGCTTCACGTCATCACCTCCAAGCCAGTGTCTAAAGACATGATGGTCGATTCAGAGACTGTTCACGTTAACTGCCAATCCAGAGACTGTTCACGTCACCGCCTCCAAGCCAGTGTCTAAAGACAAGATGGCCGCCTCCAAGCCAGTGTCTATGGACAAGATGGCCGATCCAGAAACTGTTCATGAGACTTCTGCCAATTCAGAGACTGTTCACGTCACCGCCTCCAAGCCAGTGGAGGCCGATTCAGAGACTGTTCACGTTACTTCTGCCAATCCAGAGACTGTTCACGTCACCGCCTCCGAGCCAGTGTCTAAAGACAAGATGGCCGCCTCCAACCCAGTGTCTACGGACAATATGGCCGATTCAGAAACTGTTCATGTTACTTCTGCCAATTCAGAGACTGTTCACGTCACCGCCTCCAAGCCAGTGTCTATGACAAGATGGCCGCCTCCGAGCAGTGTCTCCAGACGAGATGGCCAAGCCAGTGTTCCGACGAGATGGCCGATCCAGTGTCTAAAGACGAGATGGCCGATCCAGTGTCTACGGACAATATGGCCGATCCAGTGTCTCCGGACAAGATGGCCGATTCAGTGTCTTCCGCACGAGATAGCCGAGCCAGTGTCTAAGGACAAGATGGCCGCCTCCAGTGTCTCCAGACGAGATGGCCGAGCCAGTGTCTCCTGACGAGATGGCCGATCCAGTGTCTCCGTACGAGATGGCTGATCCAGTGTCTCCGGACAAGATAGCCCATCCAGTGTCTCGGACAAGATAGCCGATCCAGTGTCTCCGGACAAGATGGCCGATCCAGTGTCTCCGGACAAGATTGGCCGATCCAGTGTCTCCGGACAAGATTGCCGATCCAGTGTCTCCGGACAAGATGCCGATCCAGTGTCTCCGGACAAGATGGCTGATCCAGTGTCTCCGGACAAGATGGCCGATCCAGTGTCTGCTCCCGAGCCAGTGTTTGTTTCTGTGTTTGTGTCTGTCCTTGTGACCATTTCTGTTCTAGTGTCTGTTCCTGAGCCGGTGTCTGTTCCTGAGCCGGTGTCTGGGCCCGAGCTGGTGTCTGGTCCTGAGAGGGCATCACCGCCGTGGCCTCCCGAAGGCTCTTCACCGCCTTGGCCTCCCGAGGGGTCTTCACCGCCGTGGCCGCCCGAGGGGTCTTCACCGCCGTGCCCGCCCGAGGGGTCTTCACCACCGTGGCCGCCCGAGGGGTCTTCACCCCCTTGGCCGCCCGAGGGGTCTCCACCGTCTTGGCCGCCCGTACAACCTGCTCCGCCCTGTTCATCCGCACAGTCTGCTCCACCCTGGTCCCCTGAGGGGTTGTTTCCGCCCTGGCCATCCATTCTGCCGCAGTCTGCAGGTCCTTTTCCGCTCCACGGACCTGGCCCTCCATCCCTCCCCCGGATCCGCCTCCGCTCCACCTCCCTCCTGGACTGTTTTTGAGCGTCTGGAAGCCGCTCTTTGGGGTGGGGCTATGTAACGGTCACCAGGTGGAGTGCCCTTGAGAGTCACCAGAGGGCACTCCACACCAGATGTTCATGTTTCACTCACAACTACATTTCCCATAACTCACTGCCCAGACTCATCAGCACTCATCTCATTCACCTGTTTCTCATTATCTTGTTTAGTTCACACCATAAATACCTTGTGTTCACATTCACTGTTTGCGAAGTCTTGTTTTACTGTTAGTAGCATTTCTGAGCGTTTTTCTCCTTTCTTTGCTTCCTGTATTTTTGACCTGTGCATTGATTATCGTTGCTGACCCTTTTCTGCCTGCCCTGACCCTGGACTGTTTTCACTGGACTCTGATTCTCGCTGCCTGCCTCGACCCTCTGCCTGTATCTGGTTTGTCTATGCCTTGTCTCCATTGCCCTGTTAGCTGTTGTTGATCCCTGCCTGTTTGATTCTTCTAATAAATGCTGCATATGGATTCCCTGGTGTCTGCTGCATCAAAACAGATCTAATATTCAGCAACTCAAGCTTTATCATTTGTTAATCTGCATTATATCTGTTTTTAATGTATTGAACATAAATAAATCAATTTGTTTGAGATTTTTGATTTTATTTAGTAATTTGGAAACCGACAGTCTATATATGTTAATATCTGGGGGAAAGAGTCTCTATGTGTTGGTATTTATTGGACCTCAGTAATGTGAGACAGCTAGCACACGGTCGGATAATAATACCATCTCTTTTTAACAAGTCAGGTCTGAAGTCAGCTTTACATTCTTTATATCAGTTCAGTAGAAAAATCAATCCTATTCATAACATAAGGATCATGTCAAACATATGTTGGGATTTTATACAATTCAAAACCAGCACAGCACTTTCCTCGTCCATTATGCTTTTCTCTTTTCATCTGTCCCCCAATTATGAGGTTTTAATAATATTCAATAATTAATAAGTTAATTAATAAGTAGACAAGACAAGTTTATTTATATAGCACATTTCATACACAATGGTAATTCAGAGGGGTTTACATAGAAGAAACTAAAATAATCAAAACAAATAAGAAGAATTAAAACAGTTTAGAATAAAATATAAAAGCTAAAAAGATGTGTTTTGAGTCTTTATTTGAATGTAACTACTGAGTAATTACGAAGTAATTAATAATTCACCCCATGAGAAACAGAATGTTGTGAGTTTAATAAAGCAATGATAAAATAATGACTTTGCATTCTTTATTTTGTACATTACAGAAAAATTATAAAACAAAATTGATATCATGAAAGCAGTGCATCTCAAATGAAAGTAGCAGGCTGTTTTAAAAGGCAGGAATCTCAATGGGAACACAGTATGAATGATTCCATAAAATAAAACAAACAAAAGCACAAACCAGGATGAACCCTATTTCTCACAGACCCCTTTTCTGAGGGTGGCGCATTGGAGATCATTCCAGTTGTGGAGAGGAACTGAATAATACAGTTCAACACAATCCTCATCACGCAAGTTATTCGGCTCACGTGAGTACCAAAACCTGAATAACATGTGTCAGTTTTGTTAATTATTCAGAACCCCAAAATTCATGAATCAACAATAATCAAACCAGCAAAATAAGCTGCAGTACAAGTGAAAGTGCAGAAAAGTAAAATAGAGAAGAATAATATAATTTATTTAGGAAGTTGATTTGCTTATGATTGTTGATGTCATGGAATAATTGTTTTTAGACACTTACTGGTGGTTGTGATGGATTTGTGAATACTAAACAAGCACTTACCTTTGACTAAGTGGTGAATTATCCACCCATTTCATACGGCCCTCCTGCTGTATGTCATTCAAACCAATCCACACATTATCCCTGACTATTGAGGTTATGAACCTCTGTGGATAAAAACAGGAGTAAGTGTGATTCCTCTCATTCATTAAAAAAACGCTAAACCAAACTCACCTGCTTCGCTTCAGTTTTGATAATGACCAGATCACCACCACGATCCCTGCAGTACTGCCTGCTGTTAAACCAGTTCAACGGAGGGGTTATGAAAAACCAACCCAACCGATTTCCTAACAGAAAAAAACTTTTTGAAAAAATGTATTCATCAAAGAAGAAGTAAAGTAAAAACAAAATGTACTTACCTCTATCATTAACTTTCTGTAGTTCATCAGTCAGAGATTTGACTTTGACTTCCAAACCCAGTTTCTGCTGATTCAGAGAGTTGAAACCGTTCTGTAACTGGTTTTTTTCAGCAGTGAGACTATTGACTCTGGTCTCCAGGTTCAGTTTAATCTGGCTCAAAGAGTTAAAGCTGTTCTGTAACTGGCTTTTTTCAGCAGTGAGACTATTGACTCTGGTCTCCAGGTTCAGTTTAATCTGGCTCAAAGAGTTAAAACTGGTCTGTAACTGGCTTTTTTCAGCAGTGAGACTATTGACTCTGGTTTCCAGGTTCAGTTTAATCTGGCTCAAAGAGTTTAAACTGGTCTGTAACTGTTTTTTTTCAGCAGTGAGACTATTGACTCTGGTCTCCAGGTTCAGTTTAATCTGGCTCAAAGAGTTAAAACTGTTCTGTAACTGGCTTTTTTCAGCAGTGAGACTATTGACTCTGGTTTCCAGGTTCAGTTTAACCTGGCTCAAAGAGTTTAAACTGGTCTGTAACTGGTTTTTCTCACCAGTGAGGCTGTTCACTCTGGTTTCCAGCGCCAGTTTCATCTGACCCAAAGAGTCAATGCTTCTCTGTAACGGGCTTTTCTCAGCAGTGAGGCTATTGACTCTGGTCATCAGCTCCAGGTTCTTCTGACTCGAAGAGTTTAAACTGGTCTGTAACTGGCTTTTTTCAGCAGTGAGATTATTGACTCTGGTCTCCAGCTCCAGTTTCTTCTGACTCAACGAGTTTAAACTGGTCTGTAACTGTTTTTTCTCACCAGTGAGTCTGTTGACTCTGGTTTCCAGCGCCAGTTTCATCTGACCCAAAGAGTTTAAACTGGTCTGTAACTGTTTTTTCTCACCAGTGAGTCTGTTGACTCTGGTTTCCAGCGCCAGTTTCATCTGACCCAAAGAGTTAACGCTTCTCTGTAACTGGCTTTTCTCAGCAGTGAGGCTATTGACTCTGGTCACCAGCTCCAGGTTCTTCTGACTCGAAGAGTTTAAACTGGTCTGCAACTGGCTTTTTTCAGCAATGAGATTATTGACTCTGATCTCCAGCTCCAGTTTCTTCTGACCCAAAGAGTCAACGCTTCTCTGTAACTGGCTTTTCTCACCAGTGAGGCTATTGACTCGGGTCTCCAGCTCCAGTTTCTTCTGACTCAAAGAGTTTAAACTGGTCTGTAACTGTTTTTTCTCACCAGTGAGGCTGTTGACTCTGGTCTCCAGCTCCAGTTTCTTCTGACCCAACGAGTCAACGCTTCTCTGTAACTGGCTTTTCTCAGCAGTGAGGCTATTGACTCTGGTCTCCAGCTCCAGTTTCTTCTGACTCAAAGAGTTAAAACTGGTCTGTAACTGGTTTTTCTCACCAGTGAGGCTGTTGACTCTGGTTTCCAGCTCCCGTTTCTTCTGACCCAAAGAGTCAACGCTTCTCTGTAACTGGCTTTTCTCAGCAGTGAGGCTATTGACTCGGGTCTCCAGCTGCAGCTTCTTCTGACTCAAAGAGTTGAAGTTGTTCTGCAGTTGGACTTTTTCAATCGTTAATTTAGTGTTGTTCTTCTTTAAGCCGTTGATAGTCTGATTGAACTCTTTAACTGTGTTCGAGTAGCTCTTTACCAGGTCTCTCTCTCCTGTGCCTTTGGTGTGCTGCAGTATGATGTAGGCAAGTAGAAAAGCACAAATGAGCCCAAGACACACTGTCAATAACACCAAACACCAACTTCCTCCTGACAGAGAGAAAACACACACATATAAATTTAGAACAATTCACTCCATATTATAAAATATAACTATTAAAATCAACCTTCGTAAGTATAAAAATGTTTTTTGAATGCTCTTTTATAATGATTATCATCTGAAATTAATATATGGTAGGCTACAAAATGCAAACAAGAACATATGCTGCAAATAGAAAAAATAATTATGTTAATACATTTCATATTTAAACATTCTTAGAGAACAATAAGTGTAATTTCTCAGTTTCTGAAACATTTCTGCTTTAGAATAAACTTTACTTACTGTTCTTTTGTGTTTTTCCCTCATCCTGGTGGTCACCTTCAGGTGTGCCCTTAACATCGCTGTTTTCAAATTTTACAAAAAAGATTTTAGGATCCATTTTTTTGCACTTACTTACAGTTTCAGTACAGTGTGTCTTCACAGATGATCTGTGGTCTTTAGAATGAGCGCTGGTCATTTATATACTGCTGACCTGCCCATTTTTGCGGAACCTGTGCAAAAGGTTTAACATCGCCTTAAGACCTTGGTTACTTGGAATCTGCTATGATGCCGTTCAGTTTTTGTTTTTATTTTTTTTTTGCACTGTACTATAGCTATACTCGGAGCAAATATGAAAAATATTACACACACAAAAATGAACTGCAAAAAAATAAGTCAAGCTACAAGTACAGTATATGCAATTAAATTAAATCCATTTAACAACATAGATTTTTTTCAAAGCAGCTTTACAGTGATAATAGGAAGTTAAAGTAACAGAGATAGTACAGCAGCTCTAGAATAAAGTCACTGTCCAGCTAAAGTTAATTTTGATTGATTTACTTTCATTGGAATGAAATGAACACGCTCCGGCCACTCATTCGCACAACAACAGTGCCTGGTGGCTCGAGAATGCAAACTTTGAAACAGGTTCCGAGGTGTATGCATTGAAACATTTTGAAGTGCGTAGAAGTGTACGGGGTGTCAAATTGAACCCTTAAGCCCAAATTGAACCCTTAAGGCCTCATGGTCTCCTTCCGAGTTCACACTTTCATGATGTAATGTTGCTATGACTGTCTGCTGTAGGGCACATATCGGCTGCTAAGGGGGCGTTTGACAGCTTCTGAAACCTAGAATCAAAAACACAATAATCCACACCCAGCAGTCTTGTAGACTTAACGAACATGCATGCACGTCAGCCATTGCAAGTCCATAACACCACAAGAGCATATGAAGTTTACCATTTTGGAAATGTCCTTCATATGGGCAGACATCAAAATCAAGGAGTCGAGGGTCTGCCCATAAAGACTTTGGCAGGAGCAATGGGGATTCCCCCAAGGGGAAGTGTTTATAAGGAAGTTTTTGTGTGTAAATTTAAAAGATAAATTTGATAAGATAAGATATTTACATATAAGTACAACTTGCACCAATCATCCTGTTCAAAAGTCCCCGGCTCTAAATGCATCATGTGTTGCCATCTTGAGCCTATAGTGAATGTTTGAAGCTTTTTTAAAAGTTGTGCATGAGTCCCTCAATTGTCCTCAGTGTAAAAAGATTTATCACAGGGTCTGTAGAGCAGTATTTAATGATCTATAGCCTTTAGCAGCACAGCCCAAATGCTTTTCTCCAAACTGCGTGGATATAAAAATCATCAGTTACTGGATAGATACATTTTTTTTTCTATTCAGCCCTATATTTGTGCTGTGTCTCAATTCAATGCTTCATCCTGCAAAGGCAGCCTTCAAAGGCCGATTGCGTCTTCACGGTGGGTCCTAATTGGCCTATCAGTAAACCCCTCCCCTCGAACACAGATGAGCCAATGGCAATTGAGAATCAGTTGCACTGGAACCGGAACTCTGACATCTTTACGTTTCAGCGCCGTAAAGAATCATTGGAAGATCCGGAACTCTGAGTTTGATGGTGTTTATGCTGCGAAAATTATAAAACGATGTGGTGCTTGGACTTGTAACACCTGAGAGGATGATTAATGGAATTTATTTTATTCCATTTCATAAACCCAAACAAGACAGGGCAAAGTATCTGCTTTGGATTAAATTGTTAATCCAATGATGTTGGCGCAGTAACCTGGTTCCTTAAACGGGTCAGTTAAAGGGTTAGTTGACCCAAAAAGGAAAATGGTGTTTATGTAAATCATTTAAATTTGAATGAATAAAATTATGTCGTTCCAAGCCTGTCACAGTTTAAGATATTTTAGATTTAGTCCGAGAGCTTTCTGTCCCTCCATTGAAATTGTATGTACAGTCTCCTGTCCTTGTCCAGAAAGGAAATAAAGACTTCATCAAAGTAGTCCATGTGACATCAGTGGGTTAGTTACAATGTTTTGAAGCATCAAAAATACATTTTGGTAAAAAAAATAAATAAAACCTAGGACTTTATTCAGCATTGTATTGTGTTCCTGTTCTGTTGTGGATCTGTGTTCAGTGACGCTGCTGACATGTGTCTGGTGCGGCTGAGCTTCGATTACAGTCTGAGGGAGACGCACGCTGTACAAAACAATCTTCGCAAACAGAAGATAAACTTCATCTAAGGATTTCCACACAGAGGAAGACTTGCATTTTTCGGCCAGCCATATTTATTTGAACCCGAATACACAGACGCACCAGACACACGTCAGCAGCATCACTGCGGACTCGTGAACATAGATGCACAACAGAACCGGAAGACAATACAATGCTGAATAAAGTAATAGTTTTTGTTATTTTTTGACCAAAATGTATTTTCGATGCTTCAAAACATTGTAACTAACCCACTGGGACTACTTTGATGATGTCTTTATTTCCTTTCTGGACAAGGACAGTTTACCGTATATACATTTTCAATAGAGGGACAGAAAGCTCTCGAACTAAATCTAAAATATCTGAAACTGTGTAAGGTCTTACGGGTTCGGAACAACATGAGGGTGAGTCATTAATGACATCATTTTCATTTTTGGGTTAACTAACCTTTTAAGAGCAGGTGTGCATGGTACATGGCGGATTGTTATTATTGTGGTGAATTTACGCGGCGTGCGCCAGGAGCGTTCACAGCTAAAGGAGAAATTACAGAAGAAATTACTTTGAACTAGCATTGACCGAGCCTATGGCTCTAACTATATGGACACAAGTATGCTATTACACCTTCAAGAACTTCAATGCCATTCAAATCCATATGCGATAACATGGACTTGGTCCCCCCCTTTGCAGTTGCAATAACTTTAGCTCTTCTGGGAAGGATTTTCACAAGATTGTGGGGTGTCAGTGGAATTGTATGCTTATACATCCACAAGAGTATTTATGAAAGTTGTTGCAATTGCAAAGGGAGAACCAAGTCAATGGGTCTACATACTTTGTCCATATAGTGTATCTACTAGGGCTGAAGCATGTCTGCACTGCTCAATGACTAAACAAAACTTAAAACATTCCATAAAAGCAAAAACGGTAACAACTTAAATTTAACTTCGTTTTCTCAAACTCTTTTAAACAACGGCACCTGCAAATCCGAGGCCATGGTCCTCAGTCGGAAGAGGGTGGCTTTCTCACTTCAGGTTGGTGGAGAAATCCTTCCTCAAGTGGAGGAGTTTAAGTATCTTGGGGTTTTGTTCACGAGTGAGGGAAGGATGGAACGGGAGATTGACTGACGGATCGGTGCAGCTTCAGCAGTAATGCGGTCGATGTACCGTTCTGTTGAGGTGAAGAAGGAGCTGAGCCGTAAGGCAAAGCTCTCGATTTACCAGTCAATCTACGTTCCTACTCTCACCTATGGTCATGAGCTTTGGGTCATGACCGAAAGGACAAGATCCCGGATACAGGCGGCTGAAATGAGCTTTCTCCGCAGGGTGGCTGGGCGATCCCTTAGAGATAGGCTGAGAAGCTCGGTCACTCGGGAGGAGCTCAGAGTAGAGCCGCTGCTCCTCCACATCGAGAGGGGTCAGCTGAGGTGGCTCGGGCATCTGTTCCGGATGCCCCCTGGACGCCTCCAAAGGGAGGTGTTCCGGGCACGTCCCACTGGGCGGAGGCCTAGGACACGCTGGAGAGACTATGTCTCCCGGCTAGCCTGGGAACGCCTCGGTATCAGAAGAGCTGGAGGAAGTGTCTAGGGAGAGGGAAGTCTGGGCATCTCTGCTTAGACTGCTGCCCCCGTGACCCGGCCCCGGATGAGCGGAAGAAGATGGATGGATGGATGGATCTTTTAAACACTTAGTATTTAACAATTTGGTCTTAAGTGTTGGAATGTGCACCAAAGAAAGTAATTTCTTCGACATTGAAATCATTCTAAATAATTACATTTTCAGATTTTTATGCAGAAACAAAAATTGATCGACATTCTCAGGGTTAAGAGAGTGACACCACAATATCTCGCTTAACTTCATCATACAACAGGGGAATTGCCGTTTCTGTTAAAAACTTTTATGCTTATTTAGGACATAATCAACTGTGTTTATAGCAGCGATTCCCAAACTGTGGTCCGCGGACCACTAGTGGTCCGTGAGGGCACTGCAGGTGGTCCATGAAAAGGCAAAATAAAATATAAAATATTTTACCAATAAATTCCCATTAAAAAAAATAAAAAGAATATGTAGGCCTATATTTATATAAAATGTAAATTAAATTGTCAAGCTATTGTGTGATTACTAAAATAGGCTAGTGGCGCTCGGCCATGACGTTCAAGCTCTGTGTCGTCAGAACCACAACACCCGGATCGGTGGATAGCAACAGGTTAGGTGAGCATTTATTTAGTTGTTTGTTTTTAATATTGGTCTATATTAGACAGACGATACAAAGAGGAAGGGAAAGATGTGGAGGGTGACAAAGGAGGATATTACGTTCATATCGGGCTGGCAAATAGACTCCAATGGCTTTTCCTTTTGACAACTTTATTTTCAACCTGGAATAACGTTAGGCCTACTGTGTTTTCTTTTAAATGTATAACGTTATAGGGCAGAGGCAAATATGTTCTCAAGTCTACTTTTTGAGGACTTGTAGAACTCTTAAGATTAACATTAATAATCCCCTAAAATCGCTAAAGGTTTTGAAATGCTGACTATATCCAAGTGTTCTTATTGCTGTATAGATTTCATACTCCATTGCTATGAAAATAAGCCTGTTGTTCAAATGAACCTGATTATAATATGTAATAAATAATATAATATGTAATATCATAATATGTGTATTATATCATAATATGTGTATTATGAGGTGGTCCGTGAAAAATCTTGATTACAAATAGTGGTCCTCACACACAAAAAGTTTGAAAACCCCTGGTTTAGAGGATACTTACCAAGAGTGAATATTTTGCCCTGGTCAAAATGAGAAAAAAAAAGAGCAGGATGTGCTTTATACTGAAAAGAAATATTAAAAGTGCGATAAGTCGGGAAAAAGAGCGGAATTCTACTGGCAGAATGCTGTGCACATATGCTCCGAGCGCAACACAGAC